AATAGTGTAGATGTTTGGGTTTGGTCTGGAGCCTGGGCTCTGAGACCCTCCCCCCCTTTGGTTGGGTTTCAGACCTCAGACTCCAGCCCGACCCTGAACAACTACACTGCTCTTTTTAGCTCCAGTTGACTCAGACTCTGAGACTTGACACTGGGGGTTTTTCTTTGCAGACATATACAGAGAGCCCATAACATCCCTTGGTAACTTCTTCCAATGACTTATTACCCTTACTTTTAAAGTGCACCATACTTTTAGTCTGAATTTGTCTAGCTTCAACTTCCATTGAATGCCTTTGTGTGGTATATCTATTAACAAATCTTATAGAACCTGATTAAGTCACCTTAATCATCTATTTAATATGCTAAATAAATAAATAAATAATGCTTCTTAAATCTCTCGCTCTAGGTAAGGTTTTCCAGAACCCAAATCATTGTCTTTTTTCTGAACCCACTCCAATTTTTGGAAGTGTGGACACCAGAAAAATAAATATCCATGTTAAATATATCAAAAGACAATGAAGAATTACTGACTGAAAGCTTCAGGATTAAGCTAGCAAGTTGACAGAGAATAGAAGGATGGGGAAACCTGGCTGTGGCAGAAGCTTGGCTTTGTCAGAATAAGCTGAAATGTGTAAACTTGGGCTGGTGAGGGGTAGTGTGAAAGTCTATGAGAAACTTTGAGGGAAGACAGCTGCCATTATAAATTAGAGGTATACACATAAATTTTCTTGGAGAGAGACAAAGCAAACATAAGATGAAAAAGAGGGCACACAAAATACGTACCCGGACTTGAGCTCATCAAAAGCAGTTTGTGACAACTTCTTACTACAACTTAAACTTGAGTGAGGATTTATCTTTCAGCATCCTTCATCTTTCTAGTAGAGGAATGGTAGTGGTGGTATTTCCTTTTTTTTTCCCCTTGTCCAAACACTTTTTCTGGCTAATCACCAGAGTCATTTGATACTTCGGTTGTTTAATGAAGACCAATCCTAATTTTTCTCAATAATTTTTGAGAGTTTGTATTCAACCTTGGTTCAAGACTTAATATTCATGTGGAATAGATTAAGTTGCTCATTCATTTTAGTGTTCAAGTTTACTGCACCTCTGCTGTTCTGACTCATGTCAACATGATTTATTTTTATACATATTAAAGGTCACAAGCTGGATTTCATTTTGCTTTGGCTGTAAATTTTAAATCTATAATCAGTAACTTTTCTGATCACCATAAGATTTGTTTTCCTGTTTCTTTGGTACTGTTAAGAACAGCTTATGTGAGAGAGGCAATGTAGTGTAGTGGTCTATGAGTGGGCAGTCTCATCTGTTCACAGCTTTGTCACCACTTCACTTGTGTGATCTTGAATAAACCACTTGAAATCCTTGCTTCTTAGTTTATCCATCTGTAAAATTAGTAAACCACCTCTCAGGGCGTTGAAGAGACTTAATATTTGCAAATGACTGAGATCCTTGAATAAAAGTGTGTGTGTGTATATACACACACACACACACACACACACACGTGTGTATACAAAGTATTTTTATACTTAATCCTGTCTGATATTTTTTGCTTTCTTTTCTATTGTAAAACACACTCCCCTCCTTCTACAGAGGAAGAGACAGATAACACCACTTTAATTTTAATGAGGCAATTCTCTTCATCCATTATAGATTATTTCTTTTGCTTGTCATTTTTCATGGTATTCTCAAGAGCATAAAGGAAATAGAGCCAACTGATTGCAGACTAATACTACTGAGAACACTCTAGTTACACTGTCCACATGCTAATTTGGAGAGCTTTATGTGTGGTTACAGAGATTACCTGAGGCAGGTCAAACTTAGTCTAACAATCTTATCAGAACCAATACAGTCTTCTACTTTTTGTTCAAGAGTTATCAACTGTGTTTTAAACCCTGAGAGACTAACATGTTCTAATCCTATGAAAATTAACAACAAAATACATGCCAAGCTGTCCCCCAGAAGTTCTTCTTTCTGTTCTCTCACTTTTTCAGCTTTCATATCTCCCTCACAAATTTTTCTTTGCAAAAAGACCATATGTCATGTGGCGGTTTCATTCAAACACCTATTTAACGGATTCTTGGCGTACAGGCTTCTGAGAGAGACAAGGTGGGTAATGTAATATCTTTTATTGGATATTTTAAGGGACCATGCAAGGTGAAGGGTCTTGTTAACTGGAGATAACAGAATTACTCATGAACTTGCAGATGCTATGATAGCTCATGCTGCTCAGTTTTCATTCAAAGATCTTGGTATCAACCACATTCTTTTAATTTAAAATCTAAGACTGATCTTATGATGCTTGTGCTCTCCCAGTAAAAATGTTGTTTCCCCCCTGCTTTTCCTCTCCCTTTAAATCTGTTTTTATTTTTCCTGACATCAAAGCTTGTAATCCTTGGAGTCATCTGAGTCTGATTAATATGAGCCTCAAAAAAAGAAAATAAAGTTCTGATGGTGCAACTGTCTTGTACCATCTCACTGGGATACAGAGATTCTTAATCATGCCTGTATCACGTTCTAACTGAACTATTCCCAATAAATCATGTATCACTCTTTACCACTTCCCTCAAGAATATCAGCTTTTGAGATTTCAGAAACTTACTCCTTATCAAAGAGAATTTCCCTGCTCTCCAGTGAAACGTCAGTGTCTTTAAAATCAGTCTGCTTACACTGAAGTCATTGTCATGTTCCTTTATACGCTACCTTGGAGAGCTTATTACTTCATACTTCCCAAGGCAAACCCAGCTTTCCATTTTAAGTAAAGATCAGTGCTTGATCTCAGCTAGGATTAGTAACTTTAAATCTCCATAATATGAAATAGACTGTACTACCCTTCTAGGATTGTATTCTCAAGGTACATCTATACTATGATAAAAGACCTGCAGCATGGCTGCGGCTGGCCCAGGTCAATTGACTCCGACTTGGGCTGCAGGACTATAAAACAGTAGTGTAGACTTTTGGTCTCTGGGGGTATGTCTACACTGCAATTAGACACGTGCGGCTGGTCCATGGGGCTTGGGCTGTTGAATTGTAGTGTAGATGTCCAGGCTCAGACTGGTGTTCACGCTCTAGGACCCTGACAGGTGGGAGGGTCCAGAGCTTGGGCTGCAACCCACATCAGAACATCTACATTGCAAATTAGCCCGAGCCCTGCAAGCTTGAGTCAACTGGCATGGGCCAGCCATGGGTATCCTAATGGCAGTATAGTATAGACATACCCTGAGACCCCACAAGGGGGCAGGGTCTCAGACCCTAGGCTACAGCCCATGGGCAGCTGCTGAACCAGCCATAGGGGGAGGCTAGCCCCCAGCCCCTCCCCTTCTACTTAAGGCCCTGCCCCTCACCATCCCCTGAAGGAGCCCAGAGCACCCCCACCATAGCCCTAGCCCCAGCCCCCTGCCCCAGGCCACCCAAGCACCCCCAGCCATGGAGTGCCCCGAGCCCTGGAGTTCCAGCTGAGCCCCCAACCAGAGCCCCAGAGCACTGGGAAGCCAGGGGGTGCAGTTCCAGCACCCCAAGTGCCAGGTGGGCAGTGCAGCCACGGAGCCAGCACCAGCCACCATGAATCCCAGCACCATACCAGCTCTCCCCAGCCCCAGTCAGCCTAGGCTACTATGGAAGAGCAGGAAGGAATTGCACTGCAGGCAGGGGCCTGGGGGTGAAGCATGGGCAGGGCCATGCCAGGCCATTTTGAGAGGCACAGTCTCCCCTAGCCTATGATACCCGCCACCCATGCTGCAGCCTGAGCCTGAATTCTACAGTTATTTTATAGCCCCACAGCCTGAGCGCTGCAAGCTCGGGTCAGTTGACCTATGGTCTGAGACTCATTGCTGTGGGAGTTTTACAGCCACATAGACATATCCTAAAGAATCTGAAGAACTCAGAGGTTTCTCTGCTATTGCAGTAAGACTTCTGCCTCACAGATCCATTTCACCACTCCTTGTCCCTTGCATCATGTCTATGATTTTCCATTGTTTTTTTCCCTGTTTGTGCTTTATCTGATGCAAAATGCTTCACATGGGGTTAAAAAAACTGCACCAAGGTAGCATCAGAACATTTTAGCCATAAAGTATGATAGCTATACATGAGATCTAACACAAAAGTTAGATTTAAAAGGTCATCTGCAACAGTGTTTTGTTTAACTTCGTTTCCCCAATCTAGGGTTCATATAGACACATGGATTGTTTTAAAATTGGGGAGAAATACGAATAGTGTATTTTACAGATAAAAGTGAGATTTGGTAACTAAAAACTCCATGCCACTAGTAAAATTCTACACCTTTACTCCTCATGCATTTGACTCCTTTTTTGGCCCCCACCCCTTCCCCCGCCCACTTCCACCCTTTCCAAAGTGGAAAAGGGAGTGTAAAAAAGCCGTTTATATAAGTGCTTTAGGATCCTTGCGAGTCACTATATAGATGCATTATGGTTTTTATTGTCATTAGTTCATACAAATATTATGTCACTGTAGAAAACTGGGAGCTTTGGAACTAACAAGTAAGAGCAGGATCAAATGCTTTACAGTCATAAAAGTTACAAGACTTTGGCCATTATATGGGATAAGTTAACAAAGGGTTTGAAAATGACTAATATTTATTTTTGGCATTTATTCATTTTAATCTGTTTATACAAGACTTGGGACAAGGATTTACCTCCATCAGATCTATTATCTGTGATTTAATGAGCAGATTATAACACACTGTGTATAATACTTACTGACAGAAGTTGTAACAGAATGGGAAAGGAAGACTTCTAAATCTGTTAAATTGAACAACAGCACAACATCTACCAAACATATTTTAGACACTGTGCCTTTTAAGACACAAATGTGCTCAAGTGATAGCAAATAAAGCTTTTTTTGAATACATGTGCCCCTTCTACACAGTATGGCACTAGAATCAATATGTGAATAATATGCTACCTAGTAATTTATGTAACAGTACATGGACAGCTGAAGACTTTGTAAAAGTAACTTACTGCAAATACTTACACAGTCATCTGTCGCATCTTTGACAGCAGTAATGGTAAATACCATCATTAAAGGCACAATGGTAGTAAACCAAGACAAGGAGGATATTTCTGGAATCAGCTACAAGATAAAGTTTATTAAATACTTTTTAAAAAAATCTTAGTGAAATTTCAGTAACAATATTTCAAAGTAATATTTTTCATAAAAAGTAGTACTGTAGTAAAGAAAATCTGCTACATTGTCATAATTAATACACAGGGCGGGTAAAATTGCAGCAAATGGAATAGTGTGTAAATGAAGAGCCAAGAGGGGATGAGCTGGAAGAAAGAGAAAAAGAACTAGAGAGAACCATGGGGAGACGAGTAGATATGGGAGAGAGAGATTAAGAATGGATAGCACAATGAAAGAAAAATGGGGAGAGAAAAAGAGAAGCAGAGAAAATGAAGCAAAAATAGAAATCAAGGAAAACAATGAGAACAGAGATGAATAACTCACACTGACTTCAGTGGGAGGTATTCATAACCTATGAGAGGAGAATAGGGCCCAAGTAAAGCAAAAGGCCATGAAACAATACAAAAGTGTAAGAAGACCTACTGTGAACTAAACCGTGAGTAAACTCAAAATACATTTTGCTAGGTATATGGAACCTTAAAGAATGCAATACAAGGGAGAACACTCAGAAAAAGGAAAAATTCCAAAAAGAGAGACAAGATGGGTGAGGTAATATCTTTTATTGGACCAACTTCTGTTGGTGAGGGAGACAAGCTTTCGAGCTACACAGAGCTCTTCTTCAGAGGCTCCTTCTTAAAAGATCCCAGACCTGAAGAACTCGGTGTAGCTCAACAGCTTGTCTCTTGCACCAATATAAGTTGGTCCAATAAAAGATATTACCTCACGCACCTGGTCTCTCTTAAATCCTAAAACCAACAGGGCTATAACAATACTGCATACAAAAAGTGAGACGGAACAGAGAAAGATGGCAAACAAATGAGAGCCACAAACAAAGAATGAGAGATTAGAAAAATGTTTATTAAATAGCAGGAAAGATTTTTATTTTATTGAGATCTTTAAAAAATATTCTGTGCCAAACTTGTACATTTGACTAGGGTTTCATTTAACTATAGATGCAAAATTCAGATTTATTCAGGTCCAGATTTCAAGTCTCCCAAAAGTTTGGACTTGGGATTCCATTACAGAGAGACTCTAATCATGAAGTTCTGATTGGGGATGTAGATTTTAATTTAGACAAGAATAGTTTTCTATATCACCTCACATACTCTAGGCATCCTACAGAGATCATCAGGGCTGGTTTACTTATCCAATTAACTTAAGTTTAAAAAGGAACAAGCAAACCAGTTTGGGTAAAACAAGAACTAACCTGGGCCTTCACCCATACCTCAAACTGCATCTAATCATTTGAGGAACTGCCCTAACAAAGAAGTCTGGTGCTGCTGCTCCTTCTCTGCTTCACCACATGTGCCCAACAGGCTCTTTCTCCCCCTTGTCATGCCCATTCAATATTATCTTGGAAATACTCTTAAAAGAGTTCATCAGAAACAGTCATTTTAGGCTATTTGATATTTGTCCATCAACGGCTACATTTTAATACCCATGAAATCTGATCAACATAGAACAATTTTACTCATTTGTTTGGTATTGTAAGTGGCTATTGCATTGCTATTAACACAAATAATTGGGTCTTTTTGTTAAGAGAAGAGAATATCAAAATTACACTTCCGCGAAAAAAAGAAAGTTATACATCACCTGTAAAATCAGAAGGGAAAGGAAGTAAGCATTTGCAACCCTCTGGAACTGTTCAAATAAATTAACTGGCAAGAAAGTAAGAATGTTGTATTTAGACGTTTTGATGCGATTGTTCTGAAAAATAAGAGAACAACGTAATGCATGTTAGTACCAGCAGAGAAAAATCTAAACTTATACAAAAAATCTACTTCAAGTTTGGAACACACAGCAGTAATGACACTTAAAATCAGAAAGTCATCTTGTAGCATCTCAGTTTTGTTACAATTATTGCTTAAATTGTTGATTATAAATATTACTTAAATTATTGGTAATAGAAGTTCTAATTTTCAACAATGTTTTAAATCAAGATATAAAATCTTTAGGCAATAAATGGGAGCTTCCAGATTCCTTATCTGGAAACTCTTATTTAGGGCAGGTAAGAGAAGCGTGTACACACTAGGAGAAAGGATGGATTCAGGAAGGGTTTAGACACATACGCTCCTTATTCAGGAGCAATACCCAAATAGTGGGGGCTTGGGGCAAGGGGGCCGGGAAGGGGATTCCAATAAGGGTTTCATGTATTTCCCAGCAGATGTCACTGCAAGACAGAAGCACAGAGGAGGCAGATATTAAGCTATGCTAGAGGTAAAATGCAACACCCAATAGCAAATTGCACACCCACACACATTTGCTTGATTCTTTTACTTTAATGCTCTGAATTGTACAACCCCATTCAACACAACCTACATTTAGCTTGGCTGCTATGAAAGCCTGGAATTTATTTTTTTTTTTGGGGGGGGGGGGGACTGCAAGACCCACAAAAAGAACATATTTCATTTCTGAAGTGGACCTTGTGATTCTGGTTATCTTACTATCTATGGCCCTCACTTCTGCTGTTTTACTACAACAAATGTTTTCCTTGGTGACAACTGTGATTACTTTTACAATACTATGAATATAAAAAAACCTTAATCATTCATTAATACTGTAAAAGAGCCGGACTCACCCCTGCAGTGCCTCCTGCTGGTCATTGGGAATTAGGGCTTTTCCAGCATGGAGTGCCCTCTGCAGTCCAGTGATCCACACAGCTCTGGCCCCCGTGTCCCTCACAGACGCCGGTACCCCTTTCTCTAGGGTTCTGCCCCCTGGCAGTACCCCCACACTCTGCCGCTGGGTCTCCCCTTCCGGGGGAACCCCCAACCCACTGTCCCCACCTTGCCTCAGTCTAGGCTACTGCCAGTCATCACCAAGCCCCCACTCCCTGGAGCAGACTGCAGTGTAAAGACCACTCATCATCGGCAAGGGGGTTCAGACCTGCTGTCTTCCTCTGTCTCCCAGTGCCTCAGACCAGGCCCTACAGCCTGGGGAGTTGCCAGCCTGGAGTGCCCCCGCTCAGCCTGCTCCTCCCCCAGCACTGCACCACCCTCAGTACTCTGTATGGCAGCACAGGCGGGCCCTACTCTTTCCCAGCCTAAAGAGAGACTCCTTAAGCCACTAGCTCACAGCTTACCAGCTGGGGCCTGATTGGGGTGTGGCCCATGTCATAAATATAAAGGGAATATAATATAAAGGCTAACCACCTTTAAATCCCTCCTGGCCAGAGGAAAAACCCTTTCACCTGTAAAGGGTTAAAAAGCTAAGATAACCTTGCTGACACACGACCAATGAGGAGACAAGATACTTTCAAAGCTGGAGGGGAGGGGGGAACAAAGGGTCCTGTCTGTGTGTGTGATGCTTTTGCTGGGACCAGAGCTGGAATGCAGGTCAGAACTCCTATAAAGAGTTAGTAAGCAATCTAGGTAGATATATGTTTGATTCGGTTTTGTTTAAATGGCTGACAAAATAAATTGTGCTGAATGGAATGTATATTCCTGTTTTTGTGTCTTTTTGTTACTTAAGGTTTTGCCTGGAGGGATTCTCTATGTTTTGAATCTGATTACCCTGTAAGGTATTTACCATCCTGATTTTACAGAGGTGATTCTTTTACTTTTTCTTCAATTAAAATTCTTCTTTTAAGAACCTAATTGCTTTTTCATTGTTCTTAAGATCCAAGGGTTTGGATCTGTGTTCACCTATGCAAATTGGTGAGGATTTTTATCAAGCCTTCCCCAGGAAAGGGGGTGTAGGGCTCGGGGGGATTTTGGGGTGAAAGTGGTTTCCAAGTGGGCTCTTTCCCTGTTCTTTGTGCACCACTTTGGAATAAAGGTTCAAGAACAAAAGGTAAAAGTTTGTACCTTGGGGAAGTTTTAACCTAAGCTGGTAAGCATAAGCTTAGGGGGTCTTTCATGCAGGTCCCCACATCTGTACCCTAGAGTTCAGAGTGGGGAAGGAAACTTGATAGCCTAGCTGCGGCTACTTCCCCAATCAGCCATCCCCAGCCACAGCCCTCTCCAGGGCTGCTTTTAACCCCTTCTATTTTAGGAGCAGAGTAGCCACCCGGTTACAAACACATATTATCTAATTGTACTTATGCAGCACAGTATAACACATTACATATGAAAGCATGTACCAGAGTACATTGTTCTTTCAACAGGCTAGCAGACTGATATCATGGGGTAAATTAGTTTAGTCTGTATCAGTTGTTATCCTGCAACTCGGAATATCACCTCAGAGAGGTCTGTCTTTTCAAGACATGTTGATTTGTAACTAATCTGAAATTTTGCTAGTAACCAAAAGGAAAATGCTTTGTAAGGGATAATTATAATTTGCTGCTGGTACCATGTCTGTTATAGCCAAGACAAAAATGAAAGTTGTACTGCTCCAATCACTTCCTCAAAGGGTCCATTTTAGTGTCTAAATATAAATCCTCTAGGCCATTGGTATGCAAAGCAGTAAGTTGTGCAAGAATGGCCACAGAAAACCCATAAATGCTGTTACAACTCTGAATTAGGTCCACCAGTGGACACTCACTAGATTGTTGTATTTGGATCAACCCTTGGAGTTCCATATGCTCTTGGCCTCTTAGGTTCAAACAGAGTCTTGGCCAGGGGCGGGCAAACTACACCCCACAGGCCAGATACAGCCTGCAGGCCATTTTAAGCTGGCCTGCGAGCTCCCGCTGTGGAGTGGGGTCTGGGGCTTGCCCCACTCTGATGCTCCAGCCAGGGCACAGTGTCGGGGGCTGCACCATGAAGCTCCCTGCAGCCACGGGGTGGGCACACTCTGGTGCTCCAGCCAGGGCACAGATGCGGGAGCCACACCACACAGCTCCTGGAAGCCACACCACGCAGCTCCTGGAAGCCATGGCATGGCCCCCCTCCAGCACTCCAGCCAGGGCACAGGGTCGGGGGTCTCACCACGCAACTCCCGGAAGCCACGGCATGGCCCCGCTCCGGTTCCTACGCACTCCAATGGCCCCCTCCGGCGCACCAATGGGAGTTGCAGGGGAGGTGCCTGCAGACATGCTGGGACATGCTGCTGCTTCCGGGAGCCGCTTGAGGTAAGTGCCGCTGGGAGCCTGCACCCCTGAGCCTCTCCTGATGCCCCAACCCCCTTCCCCAGCCTTGATCCCCCTCCCACCCTCCAAACCCCTTGATCCCAGCCTGGAGTACCCTCCTGCACCCCAAACCTCTCATTCCCAGCCCCACTCCAAAGCCTGCACACTCAGCTGGAGTCTGCACCCCTTCCCACATCCTTGATCCCCCTCCTGCCTTCCAAACCTCTCAGTCCCAGCCCAGAGCCCCCTCCCACACCCCAAACACCTCATTTCTGGCCCCACCCCAGAGCCTGCACCCCAACCAGAGCCCGCACCCCCTCCCGCACCCAACCCTAATTTTGTGAGCATTCATGGCCTGCCATACAATTTCTATTCCCAGATGTGGCCCTCGGGCCAAAAAGTTTGCCCGCCCCTCGTCTAGGCACTGGCTCTGGGTTTCTAGGCACATTCTCAAGGTAAAAATCCTTTGTCTAGGATCCCTTCTGAGATATACAGCTCTGCAGTCCTAGGCCTAGGAAAACTAGTGTCAGTTCCCCCAAGCTTCCCCAGTAGTTTTTGCAAGTACACAGAGTTCAACCAATGCTGTGCACCTTTCAGATTACTGTTTCCCCTTCAGGGACTACATGATAATGAAAGCAAGTAACACAGATACTTTATAAGGAATTTCTAAACCAATCACACTTTACTCATGGACAAAGCACAAAAGATATCTACAGAAAACAACAACAAAAACCTGCCGTCAAAAGCCTCCCTCCAGTAGCCTCACCATTTCAACAACCCTCAGGTTTTTGCCAGTCCTTCCACAGCCCTGGGTCCCAGGACCATCCTCTCTTCCTGCACAGCCTTGCAATCTGGTATCCTCTCTCTTTAAAATGGCAGGTAAGAAACCCTTCCTTTTATAAGTTTCCAGTCCCCATGTCAGGTGACCATTCCAAATGGCTTCAAGTCCCTCACAGAATCATAGAATATCAGGGTTGGAAGGGACTTCAGGAGGTCATCTAGTTGGAAGGGACCTCATCAGCTGATCCATTGCTTAGTTACAAGCCTACTTGGAAGAACTGGTTCATCGGGTGGCAACTAGCTCATTGTCCTAGAATGCTTCCATTTGAATTGGAGTTCCTCCAGGTTAACAAACCTTGATTGCTTTCCACTGTTAGCCTTCTGACAACACCTCCAGGAATCCCAGTTCAATATGGAGATTAAAAGACAACAGTGAAGGTACAGTGCAGTTTTACACTTTTGTGGCATTCATAAAACAAAATGGATATAGTTTGATATAGATACATACAGACATACATTAGATGCTATCTTGGATCACTGAGTGGATACTGTAGGCTAAAATCTGGCTGCCACATGAACACAATGAAACCCACAAATAGAAGAGGAATATGGGGCAGAAGTTCTACATGCAGAGATACTGGCTCCCCCCAAAAAATCCATGCAGAAAACACGTGACAAGAACCAAGATGGGTATTTCTGGCAGGGCTACATTAGTGTGCTTAGGGTTCCTGACCCATGCAGATTCTTCTTTCTTTTAGGAGGACTTATCTGCTGAGTCAATATTTTGGGAGCCAACAATCAAAAGAGCCACTGATGGTCAGGCTGTGGACGCAAGGTACTGATGCTTCTGCAGCTTCAATGTGTGTCTATTTTGCGGGCATTTTTTCAGATAGCCAGCAGATGGCCATATATTTGGTAT